CTTGAGCTGAGGAGCTGAGAGACAGCACCCAGGCCCAGAGTTCAAGCCCCACAACCAACCAAAAAAAAAAAAAAAAAAAGAGAGAGAGAGAAAGAGACAAGCACTGATGACTCATGTCCATAATCCTAGTTACTCCAGAGGAGATTTTAGGATAGCTTGAGCAGACAAACCTGCGAGATTATCTCCAAATAACCAGCAAAAGACTTAAACTGGACGCTGGGGCTGAAATGGTAAAATATCAGCCATGAGAGAAAAAAAAACAAGTGAGAGTGCAAGAGTGTGATGCCTTCAGTTCTAATACTGGCTCAAAACTAAAACAGCTGGGAGGCTGGGATGTAGCTCAGTGGCAAAGCACTTGCCTAGCAAGTGCAACGTCCTGGGTTCGATCCCCAGTACCAAAAAAGAAAAGACAAAAAAAATACAGTTAAAAAAAACCCAAACAAAAAAAATAAATAAAACAGCTGGGGGTTTATGCTGGTAATCCTTGCTACTCAGGAGGCTGGGATCTGAGGATCAGGGTTAGAAGCCAGCCTGGGCACAAAGTCTGTGGGACTCTTATCTCCAATTAATCACAGAAAAAGCTAGAACTATGGCTCAAGTAGTAGAGTACTAGCCTTGAGCAAAAGGAGCCCAAGGACAGAACGTAGGCTCAGAGTTCAAGCCCCAGGACCAGCAAAAAATTAGTAAATAAAAATCAGTTGGCACATGACAGAACAGACAAACATGCTTCTTACCACCTGCCTGCAGCCATCTGCCTGAACTAATAACTTTGTATAGTCTGTAAATAATGTCTTTTTTGGGGGTCCGGTCATGGGGCCTGAACTCTGGGCCTGGGTGTTGTCCCTCAGTTCTTCAGCTCAAGGCTAGCGCTCTACCCCTTGAGCCACAACACCACTTCCGGCTTTTTCTTTTTGCTTATGTGGTGCTGAGGAATCGAACCCAGGGCCACAGACATGCAAGGCAAGCGCTCTACCACTGAACCACCTTCCCAGCCCCTGTAAATAATGTTTAAATATATCACTGGTCCTTGGTAGAAAAAAAGATTCATCCATCTCTGCAAGTAAGATTAAAGAACTAGGCACCTCTTCCCTGGAGTCTGGGAACTGGCCTCACCTTGGCCTTAACTGCAGCAGCAGCTAGGGCAGCGGCAGCAGCAGTGGAGAGGTTGCCTTCACCAATGTCCCGCTCCACCTTTGTCTTCCTCTCTCCCTCTGACTCCACTTCCTTCAACACTTCCTCCTGCCCTTCCTTTGGCTCTTTCTCCTTTTCAGGATCAACTGAGCCAAGACAAGAGGTGAGTTAGCTTGACATCTTCACATCTTTTTCCTTGTCCCTGCCACCACTCTGAGGAGCTCACCTATTGGTTCCCCATCACTCTTTTCTGACTCCTTCTCGCTGTCACCTTCTTTTCCTTTCTCTTCGTCTTTCTTGGGAGCCTCACTTGTTTTTTCCTTAGCTTCCTCTTCTACAGCCCCTCCTCCTTCTCGGGGTTCCTAAAGTCCCAGTGAAAGAAAAGGAAGACATTACTGAAGGCAAGAGCCGTGACTAGGTCTCACACAAAAGGCCCAAACTGGGGCCTTTTATTTTTTCACTCTTCCTCTTCAGAGTGATCAGGCTCCAGGAGACTGCCCCTGTCAGATTCCCCATCACCACCAAACCATGCCTGGCAGCCCCTCACATCCGCAGGTCATTCCTTCTATACCTTGGGCTCCTTCTTCTCATCTGCAGCCTGGTTCTCCACCCGTGCCTCATCAGTCCCACTTTCCTCTGGGCCATTGGAAAAGCAAAGGAAAGGAAAGGAAAGATGTCTGATACAGAGTCTGTGCAACACTTTCCCACCAGCCCTTCTACCAGCAAAGTTCACTGAGAGGACCAATAGAAGACAAAGCCCTTAACATCCTGGGGAAAATAAAATCCTACCAGTTTTCTTACTTGTGATGTGCCCAATACCAATGAGGGACAGGAATGGTACAGGAAAGCCAGAGGGCTCCAGTTCTTAGTAAAAGGATAGAAAACTAGAAACTTGCCAGGCCTTACCAATGCGCTCAGGCTCATCAGATGTGGTTCCTGCAATGCCACTGCTTTCTAGACCAAAGGCTGGATCTGCCTTGCCCGTCACCTTGGCTGCTTCTTCTACTTTCCGAACATGGGCCTCCACTAAGGCTGTGGGGACTTCTTCTTTCATTTTTGAGAACTCCTCTGTAAGACCCAAAGGAGACCAAGGTAGGATAGCACAGGTGGGCAGTTATGGCTATCCCTGGGGAAAGCTTCCTCATAGCCCATCTCTTCTCTAAGACCAGCATGGAGCCTTGAAAGGTACTTGAGCCAAGGCTGCAACAGACAAGGCCAGCACGGCAGCCAGTCTTGAAAGGGTTTCACAGTCTGAGAATCCAGTCCTTCAAAAGGAAACTAAGAATGCTAACTCCCCCCACCCTTCCCTCTTACCTAGGGCTGACTTCGCAGCAGCAGAGGCCACTCGGGGATCGACGACAGATGCCAGAAAGGCAACAGTGCTCATAACAGGATTGCCCGACTGGCTAAAGGGGATGGGCTGGTAGGCCAGGGGTCCCAGGGAGGCCTCTGAGTCTTCCAGATATGGGTCTTCAATAGGAAGCCGAAGAAAATGCAAGATGCATTCGTCCTGGGTGCGACTTCCCACATGCTCAGATACTTTGTTCCAGTCATCCTTGTACATTTCCAGGGCCTGATAGTAGTGGTGGAGATAACTCCGCTTACTTAGCCACTTTTCTTGAAGGCCAACCTCCCTTCCCCTAATATTCTACTAGGGGCAGCTGGCCTCAAAACTTTTTGTGTTCTATTATTTGTGTACTCTGTTGGGTCCAAAGGGAATCTTTAAGTAGCACTAAAGAAGGATATAGAGTTAGTAAAATGGCCCAAATCCTGGGCCTGGAGTTGTTTCTGGGACAGGTGTCACAGGCATCGGATAGGACAGAGATTGGGGCAAGATCATGCTCTGTTCATGCCAGGCTCCACAAGCTCTCCCCGCTTACAAACATGGCTAGTACCCTAGCCAATTCTGTATTCATAGCAGGCCTTCCCTTGCCTTGTCCCAATTACCTCCAGGAGTAGCAGGGTCTCCTGTTCTGTCCATTCTCGAGTGGCACTGGCTGCAGCTTTGCTCTGTAGAGGAAACATGGGCAGGGGGAGGGTTAGGAGACAGGAGCCTACAGCCTGCAAGGAGCACAGGTTCTCTGCTCCAAACCCCCTGTCCTCATACCTTGGAGGGCACATTCTTCTTTGTGTACATGTCTGTTCGAAGCCCAAAGTTTTGCATGTCTGTTGGTTTCTCTTTGCCTTTGTCAGGAAAGTTGAGCATTTGCTGGGAAGCAGAGCTCTGCTATTTTTGGAAGAGAAAGAAAGAGGTGAGTACAAGTGACCAGAGGGAGACAGGAGCAGACAGAGAGAGAAAACAGACAGAAGGAGCCAGGGATGTTCCTGGGTGGGACTTCCTCCCTTACTGCTGCAGTTCCTCTGCTCTCATGTCTCTTCTTCCCGGGCAGGGGCCCCCCAATAAAGGGGCAAATAAGAAGCCCAGCGGGGTCTGGACCCCACCTACCAGCTCTGGCTTGCCCTTAGCCGTCTCTGGCACCAGGTCATCCAGCTCTTTGCCCTTCCGCCCAGCCTTGGTATCAGCATCAACCTGGCGGCCCTAGGGGACAGAGCTTGGCGTCATGGAGGCTGGGCAGGAAATGGTCAGGCCAAGGCCCTGGAGGCCTTAAGACCAAATGCTAGGCAGCCCACAAGCTCTGGGGGGAGGGTACTCATGCCACTGTTCCATGCGCCCTCCATGCTTAATTCGACATGTACTTGGCATGATACCCATTTGTATTCATATATATCTTTATAGATTTTCTTAGGAGCTGGAAAATTAGGTTCTAATCCTAGATTAGGTACTCTGTGACCTTGGGCAAGCCACATAACCTTTCTCCTCTCATTTTTTATAATGTATGAAATGGAAATGGAAAAAATGGAGGTGATAATAATTATGAGGCAAAAATGAAAAAAGTGTGGGAAACATAACAGAATTTAAAAAATTCACCCAAGTTAACTTTAAGCTATTTTTCTCTAACTGCTCCATTAGCCTGTCTCTTCCCTAAGGACAACTTTTCTCCCTCAGCAATTTTTTGCAGCCTTAACTATTTAGTTTGAGAGGGAGAGTACTAAACAAACACATGGTACTGACTCCTGTGGCCTTTTGAATCCCATGGAAAAGGAAGAAACCTCAGAACACCTTTACCCTCAGAACTTATGAACCTTTAAAAAACAGGAAAAGAAAAGTCCAAAGAAGCCCAGCCTTAACCACGCCCACCCTATCCCACAGCCCCTTACCCTACCTGTGGGGTCTTGGGTTGCAGAGGAACCAGCCCTGATGGTGTATCTGCCAAGACATGGAAGTGAGAGGTGGGAGGAGGCCCCATTGGGGTTGGTCGACTCTCAGCATCCACTTGGTAGTTAATAAGACCCCACTGCTCCAGGAAGGCATGGACCCTGGAAGAAGAAAGTCAGAATCAGGTCAATCGGGGCAGCCAAGAAGGAGGAGAGGGCCAGGAACATAAAGCTCCCTTTCCCCCTCACCATTGCTCTCCCATCATTCATGCACCCCCTAAACATCAGTCAACCCAAGGTACCCATTTCCAGTCTGGACATTTTGGGGTTTTTTGCCAATAGTGGGGCTTGTACTCAGTGCCCAGGTGCTATCCCTGAGCTCGTTTTTTGCTCAAGGCTAGCACTCTACACGTTGAGCCACAGCTCAAAGTTTTCTGGTGGTTAATTAGGGATAAGAGTCTCGACTTTCCTGCCCGGCCTGGCTTTGAATTGTGACCCTCAGATCTCAGCTTCCTGAGTAACTAGGATTACAAGCGTGAGCCACCAGTGCCCAGCTTGGTGGACCTCTCTCTATGGTCACTCATTTACTAAATATCTCTTCCTGCATGGCTAGTAAAGCTTATCTTTAGCTATAGATGTGCCTATTCTTTTATTCTATATTCTCAGTTCCACAAGTCAACTTATTCCCCTAACCTGTTTATTATATGGTCTTTCTTCTGCCCATTCCATCTTCCTTCATAGGTATCTCTAGTTCTGCCTAACAGTCAGGTATCTTCACATGGCTCACCTCATTATGGCACACACATCACCCGCCAGGTTCCGGCGGCAGGCAGTAGAGGTGAGATACTCCTGGGGGTTCAGTCGGTAAGTGTCGATCATAAAGTTTCGATAGGCCAGGTAGCTTAGAAGAGAGGTAAACAAGAGAAAACAATAAAAATTGTTGGCAGGAAAAGGATAGAAAAGCCGGGTGCCGGTTGCTCACACCTGTAATCCTAGCTACTCAGGAGGCTGAGATCTGAGGATCGCAGTTGAAAGCCAGCCTAGGCAGGAGAGACTGTGAGACTCCTATCTCCAATAAAACTACCAGAAAACCGGAAGTGGCGCTGTAGCTCAAGTGGTAGAGCGCTCGCCTTGAGCTGAAGAGCTGAGGGACAGTGCCCAGGCCGAGTTCAAGACCCACAACCGACCAAAAAAAAAAAGAGAAAAAAAAATCTAATGATATTTTTTGTATGAAAAAGATGAAAAGGAAGCCAGGCACTAATGGCTCACATCTGAAATCTTAGCTACTCAGCAGGCTGTGATCTGCCAACCTGGATAGGAAGGTCCATGAGTCTCTGTAAAGCCAGAAGTGGAGCCATGGCTCAAATGATAGAGTGCTAACCTGGAGCAAAAAGCTCAGAGACAGTGCCCAGGCCCTGAGGTCAAGCCCCATGACCACCACCAACAACAAAAAAAGATTTGATTTAATAACTATTTACTAGCTATATGACCTTATCCAGGTGACTTAGGGCAACTAAACCTTTGAGCTAGAGGCACAGATCTGTGGTAAAAAAGACTGCCTAAGAAGCAAGTTCAAACCCAATACACATCACACACACACAAAATCTACACTTCAGTTTACTAACCTATAAACAGAGATTAATAAACATATGATAGTGTCTGGGAGACAGTAACCCATCAACAGATGTAGGCAAATATCATCATTTACTTCTGTGTGTGTGCTGATCCTAGCGCTTAAATCACAGTCTAGGTTCTGTTCTGCTTGTTTTGTTTTGTTTTTTTTGGGGGGGGCGGAGGGGTCCAGTCTAGGGCCTGAACTCTGGGCCTGGGCGCTGTCCCTCAGCTCTTCAGCTCAAGGCTAGCGCTCTACCACTTGAGCCACAGCGCCACTTCCGGCTTTTTTCTTTTTGCTTATGTGGTGCTAAGGAATCGAACCCAGGGCCTCATGCATGCAAGGCAAGCGCTCTACCACTGAACCACCTTCCCAGCCCCTGTCCTGCTTGTTTGTGCCCAAGGACAACACTCTACCATTTGAGCCATAGTTCCACATTCGGCTCTTTGGTAGTTAATTGGAGATAAGAGTGCCTGAGAGGGGCTGGGAAGGTAGCTCAGTGGTAGAGTGCTTGCCTTGCATGCATGAGGCCCTGGGTTCGATTCCTCAGCGTCACATAAGAAAAAAGCCGGAAGTGGCGCTGTGGCTCAAGTGGTAGAGTGCTAGCCTTGAGCTGAAGAGCTGAGGGAAAGTGCCCAGACCCAGAGTTCACGCCCCATGACCAGACCCCCCCCCAAAAAAAAAAATGCCTGAGATTTTCTTGTTCAGGCTTGCTTTGAACTATGATTCTAAGATCTCAGCCTCCTGAGTAACTAGTATTACAGGTGTGAACCACTGGCACTGTTACTATTTTATACCAAGAATTAAGTTTCTGTTATTGCCAGCATATCATACTGAATTATTATTACCTGGTAATTACTTTCTATCTTTCACTGTTTTTACCAGGAAGAAGCATGGTCAAAGAAACTTGGTTAGCTGAGCATGGTGGTTCATGCTTGTAACCTTAGTTCTAGGAAGGAACAGAGGTTGAAAGGATCTTAGCTCAACGCTAGCCTAGGCAAAAAGTTGTCAAGGCTCCATTTCACCAGATAGCTGGGTGTAGTGCGCATGTCTGTCATCTCAGATGCACAGGAAATATAAATAAGAAGATTATGGTCCAACCTGGCCCAAGCAAAAATATGAGACCTTATTCCAAAAGAATAACTAATACAAAAAAGGCCTGGGGGTGTGGCTCAAATGTAGAGCCTAGCAGTGTAAAGCCCTAAATTCAACCCACAGTACCACCAAAAAATATTTAAAAAGAAACATAATAAAAAGATAAAATGACCTTCCAGGAGGGAAAGCTGAGAAATGGCTAGAAAGAAAATTCATTTGGTTTAGTTCTCAATCTCATCCACTTCACCATGTATTTTTCCTGAAGCATCCCTAACCATAGAACATTGTCAAGTCTTAACCACAGCCAAGGAGACTGACGTCAGGCAAAACCTTAAAGGAGGGAAGATGCCGGAAGATCATGCCTGTAGTTCTAGTCACTCAGGAGGTCGAGATCTGAGGATCACAGTTTAAAGCAAGCCCAGGTAGGAAAATGAAACTCTTGCCGGGCGCTGGTGGCTCACGCCTGTAATCCTAGCTACTCAGGAGGCTGAGATCTGAGGATCGCAGTTCAAAGACAGCCTGGGCAGGAGAGACTGTGAGACTCCTATCTCCAATAAACCACCAGAAAACCGAAAGTGGCGCTGTAGCTCAAGTGGTAGAGCGCTCGCCTCGAGCTGAAGAGCTAGGGGACAGCGCTCAGGCCCAGAGTTCAAGCCCCACGACCGACCAAAAAAAAAAAAAAGAAAATGAAACTCTTATCTCCTTTGCCAGCAAAAAACTGTAAGTGTAGACTTATGTCTCAAGTAAATAGAGCTTTGAGCAAAAAAGTCAATGATAGCATGAGACCCTGAGTTTAAGCCCTAGTGCTAGCACACACACACACACACACACACACACACACACAAAGAAACAAAACAACCCCCCCCCAAAAAAAAAAACAAGACAAAACAAAACTTTTTTGTTGAATAGATCTCACTCTGCAGCTGGCCTCAGTGTTGCTATTTAGCCCAGACTGGCTTCAGATTCACAATCTTACTACCTCAGACTCTCAAGTGCTAGGATTATAGATGTGCATTAAGACTTCTAGCCAATGGGGCTGGGAAGTTGGCTCAGTGGTAGAGCGCTTGCCTTGCATGCCTGAGGCCCTGGGTTCGATTCCTTAGCACCACATAAGCAAAAAGAAAAAAGCCGTAAGTGGCGCTGTGGCTTAAGTGGTAGAG